TCATTACGGATTTATGTCGAATATTTTTCAAACTTAACTTAACTCATTTAATTAATTGTGTCATGTCAAATTGTGAATTGACCTTTTTATTTTCGTATCAAATTCGAATCGTGTTAGTTGAAAATTTTTATCCTTAACTAAAATGAAAAGAATATTTTTTTAATTAAGATTTTAAATTTTAAATTTTTTTAATATATATAATATATACATATTTTATTATTATATTTTTTATATAAAATTAATATATATATATATAAAATATATATACATAAATAAAATACATCTTAATGTAATAATTAACATTTCATTCACTTTTTTTTCGATTTAAAAAAAATTAATTTTAATAATTTAGAAAAAAAATTAATTTATTAACTTTTCCATCCTTTTAACTTTTCTTTTTTATCAAATATCATATTTTATTTATCCATCCAATTTTCCGTTCTTCTAACTTTTCATTCCCAACTTTTTTATCGTCCCGCACGGAACATTAGATCCGTGAAAAGGAACAGACAACAATATCACTTTGACACCACAGCGTCATTTACAGTCTTAAGACGGCACCACCACTTCCCCCCGTATGTAACCGCTATCAACCCACCGTCCTCCTCCGTTGCGTCTACCCGAAGCCTTTTCTCTCTCATCTCTCATCCCATATCCTCCTAAAGCCTCCACCTTGCAAAACCGTCTCTGCAAAGAACTCCATTGATTTCCATCTTCTTCAAATCAGATTCAATCTTAGAGACCTACTTGAATGGCGGAAAATGATTCAGAAGCAATCATTTATCTTCATGGAGACCTCGATCTGACAATTCTCGAAGCTCGATGTTTACCAAACATGGACATGGTGTCGGAGCGCCTCCGTCGCTGCTTCGCCCCCTTCGATGACTGTCGGAAACCATTCTCCAACGACCAACGGCAAAGCCGTCGCCGCTCCCACAAGATCATCACCAGTGACCCTTACGTCAAAGTGTGTCTCGCCGGAGCAACGGTGGCTCGGACGCGTGTCATTGCCAATTCTCAAAATCCTGCCTGGAACGAACACTTCAAACTCCCTTTGGCTCATCCCGCATCGCAAATCATGTTCGAAGTTAAAGACAACGACATGTTTGGCGCTGATTCCATCGGAGTCGCCAAAGTCTCCGCTCAGAAAATAAAATCAGGCGAGCTTATTGACGATTGGTTTCCGGTAATCGGACAGTCCAATAAACCGCCAAAGCCCGACTGCGCGATCCATTTACAGATGAAATTCACACGATGCGAAGAAAATCCGGTGTACCGGCAAGGCATTGGGGCTGATGTGGATCAGTTTGGACTAAAAGAGAGTTATTTTCCGGTTAGACATGGAGGCTCAGTTACACTGTATCAGGATGCCCATGTTCCTGATGGTATGCTTCCGGAGATTGAATTGGATGAGAAAAGAGTGTTTAGGCATGAGAATTGTTGGGAAGATATATGTCATGCTATACTAGAGGCTCATCATTTGGTGTATATAGTTGGGTGGTCTATCTATCATAAAGTGAAGCTGGTTAGAGAACAGAGTAAACCGTTGCCTAGCGGTGGGGATTTGAATTTGGGGGATTTGCTCAAGTATAAATCACAGGAAGGGGTGCGAGTCTTGTTGTTGGTTTGGGACGATAAGACTTCTCACAACAAGTTCTACATTAAAACGGTACACATTTCAATCTTTGTTATGTTCAAATGGTAAGCTATATTTTTGTTAATTGAAGTCATGAATAGCATTAAGTGAATTAAACATTCTCTGTTTAGTTGGAATACAATTATAGAACGGTTACTTCATTGTAACATTGCTATTATTTTGTTGGGCATTGTTTGAGTAACAATTGTGTTGTTGTGATTATTTTGCTATTCCTGGTTTGGTGTTCACATATTAATTGAGGTCCACAAGATGAATAGGGTATGGTAATATGTTTGGTGGGCACCGGGGGTAAACAAGAACACAAAGTACTCTGTGAAATTTGTACCTCCATTAGTTGTAGTACAACCTAGGGGTTCTCTGTCGATGCAGAAGTACAATATCTATTCCTACTTGTTCCCTCTCACCCTCCAGACACTTGAAGTAAATGCAAGTGTGACACTAAAAAATCAGAAGCCATATTTATAGTAAGCAATCATTCAAAAGCATTAAAATGACGTATCTCTGACAAATTGTAAGTAGCATCTTCTAGCTGTAACAAAAATATTGTGCAGCTGTAGTTTAGAACAATTGTAAAGGTATTTTGCGATTATGGTCGGAAACCAATCCAGTATCTAGCTTGCATTCATGGAGTTTTATATTATTCATTTTTTATTGTACCAATCATTGGGATAGTTGGTGGTGTCTTTGGCAGCCTTTTTGTACGTACAAGTTTGATTTATACAGTTCTGTATGCATAATTCATTTCAACAATATCATCCTTCTTTTATAAGAGATTTCTTCAAGCTGTCATGAGTTTTGGCTGAAGTTAGTTACTTTGACTGTTGTTGTTATTGGGCTTTCTGTGCAGGACGGAGTGATGCAAACTCATGATGAAGAAACTCGGAAGTTCTTCAAGCACTCATCTGTCACTTGTGTGTTGGCGCCTCGATATGCAAGCAGTAAACTTAGCATTTTCAAGCAACAGGCATGATTTATACTGTGGTCCAGTAATTTTTATTTTTTCCAACATTTTTGATATCATGACATAGATAAATGCCTGCTTTAAAGAGTATAAACACTTCAGGAGATATCATTGTCTACAGTATGCTGTCAGATGTCACTCCAAAACCCTGTTCAAGTCTTCTTAGAAGCTTGAACATATTTCCAGTTATTGCCAGCTCTTCCCCTAACCTGTGTAGTTTTCTCAATATTCAACTAAGACCAAATACTCCTTGAAGTACAACTATGATTAGGTTGTTTCCCGTTGTCTTTATTGATTTGATCAACTTTTCAAGTTTCAAAAATCTGTTTAACTGCAAGTTGTGAAATACCTAAAAGAACTACTTTGTGTCTGTGTGTATTTGCGTATGTATGTTTATGCGTGCGGGCAAAAGGTGTTTGTTAATGCACAAAAAGCTAGAAATGCATAAGTGAAATTAGAACTGAAAGTGAAACCCAACATAGGATGCAAACAGCAACCTAAAACTGTGAATTAATTATATTGTGACTGTGTACAAAACAGGAACAAAAATTGAAAAATGGGTTCCTTATCACCCCAATGTCTAAGCTAAGGAACCCTGAGCACTAAATGGAAGTATATTATCAGCACAAAGTGTGAATATACTGATCTGCTTTGTAGTCCTTATTTCATACCTGCAACCAAATTATACAATTCATATAAGACATCTTTTCATTAAACCGATCAATTAGCTGATTTTCTGTTATGATTGCATTTGACAACAGGTTGTTGGAACACTATATACACACCATCAGAAGTGTGTGCTTGTGGATACACAAGCCTATGGAAATAACCGAAAGATATCTGCTTTTATTGGTGGTCTAGACCTATGTGATGGACGCTACGATACACCTGAGCATCGACTATTTCGTGACTTGAACACTGTCTTTCAGGATGATTATCATAATCCAACATTCTCTGTATGTTTGTGATCTATCTGAGCTTCTATTTTTCCTTCATGGTTTGCTCGTTAATCAATACTGCATAGAAATAAACTGAGTTGCAATATTTACGTTGTTGTGGACTAGCAGTTCATTGGGCTGGGGTTTTTGATTTGATTTTGTCCAACCAGTTTTTTGAAAACTTAATTCACAGATTAAGGAAGGGGAACTGCAGCTTTTACCTCCTGACTGGCAAAATCTGTATCGTAATTTATTTGTTCTACGTATTTGAACAGTATATGCTAGAAACTAACAAACTCTAACCTGAATTGGCTATCCTCTTTATACCATCTATATACTGCCAGTGACATGTAAAGTAATATTCTGGAATCTGGATGTACTTTGTTAATGATGTCATCACCTTAACTTGGTTTGAGCCATTACTTTTGTTGACCTGATGCTATGTCCTCCCTACTATTGGCAACATTATGCTTAAGCTATTGGCACTTTCAGGCTGGTATATGATCTCTCATATTTATAGGCAGGAACAAAGGGTCCAAGACAACCATGGCATGATCTACATTGCAAAATTGAAGGTCCTGCTGCGTATGATGTGCTCACAAACTTTGAGCAGAGGTGGAGAAAAGCCACAAAATGGTCAGAGTTTGGACTACGTTTCAAACGTGTAACACATTGGCATGATGACGCTCTACTTAAGATAGAGCGCATTTCATGGATACTTAGTCCTTCTCCATCTATTCCAACAGATGATCCCTTACTGTGGGTTTCCAAGGAAGACAATCCTGAAAACTGGCATGTTCAGGTTTCTTAGTATCCTCTTACTAGTGATTCCGGAAGCAGCACTAATGTTATTGGATTTCTGGAAGCATTACTGAATGTTGGTGGGTTGTTCTATTTTTGACAGGTTTTCCGATCTATTGATTCAGGCTCTTTGAAAGGATTTCCCAAGGATGTTCAATCAACTGAGGCTCAGGTTTCTTCGCCATTTTTTTCATTTTGTTTTTTTAAATTCCGTATCAATTAGAATTACAATGCATCTAGTATCAACTGTTAAGTTAGCCTGCTGTCCCCACCAATGGTGGTGGTCAAGTGGCTCTGCGTCACTCCCACAGGGTTTGGACTTTGGAGGGACCAAGGTCAGTGGTTTGACTCTTGGGGGGCGATGCTAACTTATTACATGACCTGTGCCATGAACTCCTACTGGTATCTTGGTGAGGTATCACTTCAACTGCTGTCGGGCCAGTAGGATGAAAAAGGCTTGCAACAAGGCCCTGGTTGCGACCAGTTCGCATACAGGGCTACCACTTGAACATCTCCATTCCTCTACCTTTGCTGTCTGGCAAAAAAAAGAAAATTAGCAAATTAGCGCACAAACACTATTAAATTGATTGTTTCCAGCTTGGTGATTGGATGAGTAAGTGAGATTCCTTTTTATTGCAGCACCTAGTCTGTGCAAAAAATCTGGTGATTGATATGAGCATTCAAAAAGCATACATTCATGCTATAAGATCCGCCCAACACTTCATATATATTGAGAATCAGTATTTTCTGGGGTCATCGTATGCGTGGCCTTCCTATAAAAATGCAGGTATGAGAAACACTCTAGAAAGGAGGCATATAAACTTTACATTGTGCAGCCAACATTCAGTGCTTAATTAAATTTCTGTGCTGTTAAAACATTTTCAAGTAGCGTTGAATATTGATGGCCTCAATTTGCATTTGGATCATTTAATTCATACATGTAGATTATCTTTCCTGAACGCTGTATAGTTCCTGTCATGACTGTGTTACCCAAATTTCTCATATGCATCCTTCCCACTCCAAACCTTCCATCTCCCTTGGTTCTTGTACCTGTTTCGTGAAATCATTCTCTTTTCCTATGATTAGGAGCTGATAATCTAATCCCGATAGAGCTGGCATTAAAGATTGCTAGTAAGATTAGAGCAAAGGAGAGATTTGCAGTTTATGTTGTCATCCCAATGTGGCCTGAGGGCGTCCCAACTTCTGCCACTGTGCAGGAAATTCTTTTCTGGCAGGTAATATGGCATACATATTCTCAATGTTTTTTTGTTGGTACACATAAGACTGCTACCAGTGCAGTGTGGCTGGCTGGGTGCTTTTCTGAGGCAGTACAAGCTGAATACATCCGATATGAGTCTGAAAAAGTTAAAATATATCTCGTTCTGATTTTCTGCTGTAGCAGGGTAGTGTGATTGTAGTTTTTTGATAGTGCTTTTTCAGAATAAGCACTAACGAAGGATTGAGGCTCTTTAGTTTGCTAGCACTAATTTATCGAAGTTTGGCCGGGTACACCGACTCTTTAAATCAGTTCTAGCTATGATCACAATTTCCGTACAGGTCGAATATCACATTTCTATATGGGAAGCCGAATTTTATTCATGTGATAATAGTAAAATGTAGTATAAGCTTAACTTTTGCATGTTCCCTTTTGCAGGGACAAACAATGCAAATGATGTATGAAATTATTGCTAAAGAACTGAAATCCGCGCATATTGAGAACTCACATCCAAGTGACTACCTGAATTTCTACTGTCTTGGTAATCGGGAAGAATGCCATAAAGAAAAGTCCAATTCAACCACTCAGCCTTCAACTAATGGTGATACGGTAGGCATGCCTCCCTTAACAAATGCAGGCTTTGAAGAAGATTAAAGTTTTGCTTCTATAACTTTTTTTTTTGTTGTTGGGGTTCATTTGTTTAGCTTGAGAAGTAGTGCTAAAATGTGTAGGCAAAACAAATCTAGAAAAATGCATGGCCTTCATATCTCTTCCTCTTGACTCGTGTTGGAATTTCGTTTTTTATTCTATTTAGTTCGTCATCGTGGTATTACTCTAATGCGCTCAAACCTGGTAGAGTCAGTAGACAGGCCTATAAACTATACCAGATACCCTACCTTCTTAAACGGTCAATACATATCTTCCTCTATAGTTTCTGAGATGGAACTATCCAATTTGAGTACTTCCACTGCTCTGGTATTTTCTAGATTCATTTGCTGGTTAGCAGGGAATTGCATGTTCCAGAGTCTAAACCATGCTTTTGAGGGGTGCAAACCTCAAAAAGGTTCTTAAACACATGCTCTCATTGAATTCATTCAGCATGTCTTACAACGAAATATTGAATTCAAATGGTTATTCAGTTGAGTTTTGTATGTGACCATAGCCATAGTTGCTTTGTTTGTTTGTATTTTTTTGGGTCAAAAATAAACCCTGCTTTAAGAAATATCTTGAATCAAACTTTCAGGTTTTAGCTTCACAAAAATATGGACGGTTTATGATATATGTACATGCCAAGGGAATCATTGTGGATGATGAGTATGTGATATTGGGGTCTGCCAATATTAACCAGAGATCTATGGCTGGTTCAAGAGATACAGAGATCGCTATGGGTGCATATCAGCCCCATCACGCAAGGGCTAAGAACGAAAAACATCCACGTGGCCAAGTTAGTTTTTTCCATTCCCATGTTCAATGTTCTTTATAGATATTTTAACTGAAAATGTTGGCATCATATCATTTCAGTTGCCAATTACTGCAAATATTTTTCATGGTATTTGGTTATTTCAAAGTAGTTGATAATAAGTGTGATCAAACTGATTGTATGTGTTTGAAGGTATACGGATATAGAATGTCACTGTGGGCAGAGCACTTAGGAACGCTTGAAGATTGCTTCAAGCAGCCCGAAAGTTTAGTTTGTGTGGATGGTGTGAACAAGATTGCCCAAGAAAATTGGAAGAGATTCACAACTGATGAATTCACTTCATTGCAAGGCCATCTTCTCAAGTACCCGGTCGAAGTAGATGCCGATGGGAAGTTAAACCCCTTGCCTGGACATGAAAATTTCCCAGACGTTGGTGGCAAGGTGCTTGGTTGTCCGAGCGGTCTCCCAGATGCTTTGACTACATAGCCTCCACCAGGGTCTCGAACCACCTTCCCCGGCCCCTAGTGGCTTGACTCATTCCCGTTTCATATGCCCATAACTTTATATAAGTCTGCTTGGACACGAAGGAGGAACGGAAGATGATAATAATGTGCGGTGTGTGTATCTTGTACTTTAAAATTTCTTCTTGTATGGTATTCTTTTGGTTGGAAATACAAAGCGCTGTAAGAATTTTAAAATTAAACTGAGAATGTTGTAACGGTCACTTTGCCAACAATGCCAGCTCCCTGTTGAGGTGAACAGTAGAAAGAGTAAGTAGTAAGTGCCCTTTAAAGTCAAGGTCAGCCCTTTAAAGTCAAGGTCACCGGGTGAAGATCTCTCCAAACTCCAGCTGCATTGAGGAGGTCCTCGTCGTTCATGGAGATCTTCAATACGTCAATGCCAGCCAGAGCTTCGTCCTTGTCGAAAATAATATTGTGGGGGAAACCAGTATTGTTCTTGAAGACAATCTTCACTCCAGAAGCCACTGAAAAGCTGCCGGGAACGTAAGCTAGCTAGAGACCCGTCATCACCACCCAGCAATATCTCAATGGCCATGGCATATTGCTGGCAAGCATTGCCCTAGCAGCAGTGGCAACACAACTGCAACACCCACTTCTTTGAGTGAGGCCTTCATGCCAAGCCATGGGACCAGAGACGCAGCCACCTTAGCTGTGTGTGGTACTAACTCTTGAAGTGATCGCACTGGCATTCTTAAGGCCGGTGAAGGATGGGATGGCAACAGCAGCAGACACTAGCCATTGAAAGAGTTCAGTAATGCTAGTGCATTTCAATGTGTGCGTGTGTGGACCGAAATCGAGAGGTGGTTTTTTTATGGTATATTGTTTGGGTTTGTGGAGGGGTCAGTGATAAGATAATGAATTGCATTGTAAGGAGGATGGGTAGAGAAATGGTTCTGTTTGTGATGAAGAACAAATAATTAGTGCGAGACTAGGTTGAATTACTTACACTAATCCCAAAGTTAGTAGTGATACCTTGATCGCTTGATAAACGTCTTCTTCATATGCATAGGTGATTAAAAAAATCCCATGAGGTGTTTATCTCCTCCGAGCACTACTTATAGATTTATCTGTGTGGAGAGGCGATTCTTGCACAAGGTTCAACATTAGTTTAGTGTGTGAGGATAAATTGATTAACATCTCTAAGTCCGGGCTACCAAAGAATGGTGGGAGTGAGCAGTTCAAAATTATTTGATTTACAATAAGTAATATTAATTTGTCGTCCTGCATAGCAAAGGATTCCATGGCCCAATGGATAAGGCGCTGGTCTACGGAACCAGAGATTCTGGGTTCGATCCCCAGTGGAGTCGTCAATTGTTTTACTTTTTTCTTTTTGTTGCTCTGTCTGTTCTATAAATAAATAAGGGGAATCACACTTTGTAACTCCAAAGATTTAAAAAAAATTATTTTATATCTCTGAAGATTTAAAAAATTTTATTTTGTACCTCTAACGATTTAAAATTATTTTATTTTGTACCTTCATAGATTAAACTTTCTCATAGCATCATTAATCTGTTATAATGTAATCCTTCTGTTATTATATCATTTCTTGTTTTGTCAAATAATAAAATTTTTAACTCATTAATGGTGTAACATGAAAATTTGAATTTGTAAAGTGATATAGTAAAATTTTAAATATTTAGGGTTGTAAAGTAAAATTCGCCTAATATATAAATTATTATTTATTAGGAGGTGAAGGCGATGCCCATGGTCACATTGTTAAAAGCCCACTGACCCATGGTACTATAGGCGGAATGTGAGGCTAAAGTAGCTTTTACAGCATCGAACCATATGGTCCAATCATCTCCTACTTCATTGGAAAAGTGAAAAACATCCCCGTGTTGTGTCAGTTGTTACATTAGCGCAGGCTACTTAATTTTCACATTCTCGTCATCTAATAGGCCCAAGTTTAATGGAACTGACATTTGCAACGTCATAACATCATTAATTAAAAAAAAAATGCACTCTACTCTCTCTCTTTCTCTCTCAATGTGTTAATCGAATTGAACTTAAGTTTAATGCTCCGTTTAATAGAAATGATGAAAAGTATGAGAAATATATTTTTTATTTTTTAAGAAATGAAAGTAGAAATGATACACTTTCCTTCTTTTGTATTTGGTAGGATGGATAAAAATAAAAATGACTAATTTTTTTTTGTGCTGATTAAAATTAGCGGTGACAATCGAGTTGTATTGTGTTAAATTTGTGTTGAGTCATTACAGGTTTGTGTCGAACATTAGTGAAACCTAATTTAACTTATTTAACTAATTGTGTCGTGTCAAGTTGCAAGTTGACTTGTTTATTTTTGTGTTGTGTTCGTGTTCGTATTCGTATTGACCCACATAAATTTTAAATAAAAAATTTAATCAAGTTTATGTCTAGTTATAATCAAGTCCGTATCATAAAATTTGTGTCAGGTTCGAGTCGTGTTACTATGTTGAGTCGAAAATTTTCACTCCTAACTAAGATGGAAAAAATATTTTTTTTAATTTAAATTTTTTATTTTTATTTTTTTTTGTTAAATTTATGTTTAAAAATTTTTAAAATATATATATATATATATATATATATAATACATATTTTATCATTGAATTTTTACATTAAATTAATATATACATAATATATGTATATATCAAAAGATATATAGACAAATAAGATTTTTTAGGTAAAAAGTTGGCCCACTTTAGAATTTTAAGTCCATGAAAATTATAAGTTCTACAAAAAATTCTTAGTTAAAATTTAAGGTCAATCAAAAATTTTAATTTTAATGATTTTTTAAACTCATGATTCATCCCATAATAATAAAAACCTAAAAAATCAAAATTTTATTAAAAAAAATTGATGGTACACTCAAAAGTCAAGTCATAATTCACCTATCCATTATTAACTACATCTCCTCTCTCTCTCTCTCTCTCTCTCTATAAAGCCCCTTCCTCTCATTTTTATTCTCACTCTTCATATTAATTTCAAATAAAAAAAAATTTTGATTGTTTATTTAACTTAAAAAATAAAATTATTAAATGCTGATAGTTTAAAAAATTTATCTTGATTTCGGATGTTTCTTAATACATAACAATTTTTTCGGCATCGATAGTTTAGATTTATTTTTAAAAATATATTTTGTAAATGAAAGAAAATATTCTAATTGAGACACCAATTTATATAAAAACATTAGATTTTTTCCTTCAAATGTATGCATTTCTTATAGAAAATTATTATTAATTTTTGTAATAGTTACTTCTACAAAAAGAAGTTTTTTAAAATTAAAATCTTATTTAAAATTGACTATCACAAAAAAATAATAATTAGATTAGCGATATTATCAATGAAAAAAAATATGATAACAAAATTTAAATATAAAAACTCAATTTATACTTTTACAACTCAAAAAATGAAAAGAATTAATTTTAATCAAAATTTTTACACTAAAAATAAAAAGGCCTCAAAATAAATTACCGTTTTAGGTCTCAAATTACCTTGAGTCGTCCCTGCGTTTAGAGCAAGTCGAGTTCAAACCAAATCTTATCTTAACTGAACCCAAGTAGATCGACTTAATTAACAGCCCTATATGACATTTATTAATTGCAGAATTTAGAAAAGGCATCAATATATATTATTTTAAATACAAAAGAATAATATTTAACACTTACCATTCATAGACCGAATAATCTTTACCTATGCACTAAAGCTCTTTCTCATTTATCACGACATCGTCCATGTATAAAACTAGTCACCACAAACTTGTTATGCAGACGAGTAATTAAGGCAATAATATGATATTAAAAAATAATTTTTAATACTATCTATAAAATAAAACGCATAAGAAGTTGAATTTTATTCTTTATACATTTTTTTCCCAATATATTACATTGCTCATTTGTATCATATATTCAATTATTTAATATTTGATTAATTTATTGTTTAACATAATTTTTTTCATACACTATAATATACACATGTTAAAAAAATTTATCGAATTATGTGTTTTGAGAAATTTTGTTAATATTTATAAGAAAATAATAGGTAAAAATAAATTTTAAATGATGTAATCAAATAAATGAAAAAAAAAATTTATTATTTAATATACTAAGATTGATTTTTGGGAGCTCGAATTTTATGTTATATCGAGTTTTCAAGCACAAATTATAATTAGGACTCAAATAATCCTAACCTATATATCTTAAATTGAGCAATAATAATTGTTGACTATAAAAATAATAAAATCGTGTGATGAAATAACTTATCATATAGCAAATTTTGTTTGGCTAAAAATCTATATAATAAAGTACAATACAATTTAAATATCAAATGATAAACAAAATAATTTTTGGTTTTCGTGGTTAAAATCTCTTTAAATTTATTTTAAAGTTAATCTGATGGTGAATATTAACCCCTAAATTTAATAGAAAAAAAATAGACCTCTGAGAGTGTGTTTGAGTTGATTTTTTAAAAATATTTTGAAAGTCATAATTTCTCATAAACACTTAAAATGCCTTCTATACGGTATTAAGCAATACCACATACCCAGTGATATAATATTCTTGGTATAAATTTCATGGAAGTATAATAGAGTAAAAAGACTCAAATGCCCTCATATACAATGTCTCATATAAAAGCCAGTTATAATTTTTGACTTTTTTTTAAGGTTACAATTGTCTTTTTATATTGAATAGTTGAAATTTTTGACTTTTTTAAATAGGTATTTTTTGTGACAAGCAAACAAAGAGAATGATGAAATTATAGTTTAAAATCGAATATAATATACCATTAGACTAAAACGGAATGAATATAAAATCTAATACCACCTAAATTTTATATTTCAAACAAACAACCCTTCGTGTTGTCACAAGTCAATTTACACAGTGAATGACAGATCGTGTTGTGTCTCTTGCCACTCATCAAACGGTTGGTGGTAAATTATGATAGCGAAATTGAAGTTGACATCTTATTTGCGAACCGTCTGATTCAACTTGAAAGTCGACATCACATTAAACAACCAAGGCCACAAAACATAAGAGGACAGGATTTAATATGAGATAGTGGCAGAAATAAAATTTGGTGAAACATTTTTCAACATTATTGCACATGAAAAACATTGAGTTAGGTTATCTAATTGAATCATTGTGATATAAATATTTAGGGGGATAACTTTGAATATACTAAAGTTGTGGGATTTCATCAATAGTTTGAGATTGTTGTTTAAAGTGGTGTTGGTGGTTTGTGTACGTCTCAATATTTTGGTAGGGTGCGTTTGGTTTTACTATTTAAGATAAAATTATATTAAATTAATCTAATAGCCACTTTTTTTTTTTTTTGAGTTCAATAGTCAGCGGTGTTCAAACTAGTTAAAATTAAGTCATCCACGCCGAAACTAAGATATTCATAAAGGGTTATCCATTAATTCTTATCTTGATGACTTACCAATATTCAAATTCAGAACCTCTACATTAATAGCTCGTCTATTTTATTACTTGAAAATTTAATGAAGGCGTGAGTCATGGCTCAATTCAATATTCATTTTTTCTTGTCCAACCATCCAATGTACTATAATAGTGTAACCTTGGATCCTAGATCGACTCTCGATTGACCTCAAGATAGTATGCATCCATTGGATTCCATCTAACCAACGACATATAGATTTGTTTTTTGCCTGTTTTGACGAACTATTTTTTGGTTAATTTTTTTTTTTTAT